ACAATTTGCACTTATAGTGCCCTCCACGCAGGGTAGAGTCTCTGAGAGCTTAACAGTGGTGGAACCTGACTCCGAGCCAGGGGAAGGCGGAGAGATGGCCGTAACACGGTCGAACAGGAAAGTCTTCAGGCGGGACTTGAAAGAGGGGAGAGAGGGGGCAAGGCAGAGGGATTGAGGGAGAGTGTTCCAGTTTTGGGGCGTGGTGGTTGAAAGCACGACCTCCGATGGTGGGCGGAGGGGGCGAGGGACGAGCAGGAGGCCGGTCGGTGCCAGTCGAGCAGGGGAGTCAGGAGATCCGAGAGGTAGGGAGGTGCCAGGGAGTGAATGGATTTGAACACGAGAGTGAGGATCTTGAAGTCGAATGGGGTATGTGTAAGTATCTACTGTAAAACCTTTGTTATACTGCACTCCACCAACTTTCATTGCTGTTTCTGAACATGTGGCAAAACAGAGAAGAATACAGGTATCCATTTATTGGTCTACAATAAATGAATGAAAACAAGAACTGAAATTAAAAGAGCAGTATTTTCCAATAGTGGTGCTCATATAGAGTGGGGAGTGGGGACGGACCTTTAGTTTAGAATCATGAGGTAGCAGAGATAAACAAGTCAACCCGCAAGGAATGAATCGTTCTGCTTCATTTTCAATTTGTTCCAAACCACTTGCGAAATGACGAGTTAAAACTCGTCTCAATGCAGACCAAAAGTCTCATTTCAGGTTCCATCTTTGGTCTGCTTTCAGTTAGGTGACAATAAGGGCACGACAATCATTGTTATTGGATTGGAGGGGGTGGAAGAGAGAGTTTCCTCTCCTGATCACTACTCAGCAACTTTAACGGGAAGTACATGTGTAATATGTAATTCTAATTCTACTCACATTAGGTATAGCACCTCTCACATTGGGGGGGGGGGGTGGGAGGGTGGTGAACATCTCAAAGTGGGTTGTCCGTGTAAATGGACAAATAAAATTTATGTGTATGCCTAAACTCCTTCCGGAGACCCTTCGCCTCGCTCCATCTCTTCTTCAAGGTCTGTCTCAAGACCTTCTTCTTTGACTGCACAATTGGTCATCCTCCCACCCTCTTGGCCTCCAAGCCTCCTGAATCCAACTCTCAGCTCGGGTGCAATCCTCAACTATCCTGTGCCTTGTGACATCCTCCCAACACGAAAGGCGCTGTATAAATGCAATTTGTTTATATGTTTGTTAAAAATAGTGACATAATCAAAGTGTATTAGCAGTTTCAAGGAAATAGTGATTTTTGCACTTTCAAACTTAATTTTTCAATCAGTTGAAAAAAAAGTCATACTGGAGAGATTGTCAGGACAATTCTACAGATTTTTTCTTTGGTCAGCCAGGTGTCAGACACACAAGGAAACCCATCACCAAGCTGAGTATCCAAACCAAATAGAGCTCCATGCATCCCACCCATAAATGGAAATTTCAACACCACAGACGTTTTAACCATACAGTCCTCAATGCATGACAAAAAGCACAGATACTCCCACGGGAATGCAAAATCTCTGACACTCAACAATAAACAAGATGCTATCCCTCAGGAACACCAACCTTCAGTAGAAAGTGGAAGGGCCAGTTCAAAATCTTCCATCAGAAGCTCCAAATATTCCACTTAACCTTGCAGGAAGCCCAACGCAAATGGAATTGCAGTCAAAACGGCACACTCCTGCACATATGTTGGCCATTTGGATATTTTAGCTGAAGAACTCAGAAGGCAATGAAAACCATACTTAATCTATCTGGCCCTCAAGCCCAGACACATGCCTCTTCAGTCTGTTGCTGGCAAGCAAGAGACCTCTCACTCCCTTCCTATAACTTGCAGCTAGCCCAATTCTCACCTTTAGCTGCAGGAAGGTATATGCACCAGTTGGAGCACAACCCAATACTGCCCATAAGAAACATGCAGTTAAGCTACCGCTGGGACATTGCCAAATCTGAGATCTAACCCTGGAATGCACCTAAAAACAGAAAACCATCAAGATGTGCTGGGCCCTTGACAGCAAGCCTTTGGCAAGAATTTCTCCCTTAACCAACCCTTACCTACAATCACAGGTGGTCTGAGACCAACCAGTGCATGAAAAGGTCCTGAACCTCACAAGCTGGCCAAATGGCAAGGAGCATTATCTATTTGAACAGCCCCCACTCGCCCCTCCCACCCTACCTCAACTAAGCCTTTGCCAAGTAAAAAGAATCCTGTTAGAGAATGTTACATACAAGTACTACATGGTTTTTTGGAAGTATACTCGAATGGTCAAAAGGCATCTACTCATTCAACAATAACAATTTGCATTTGTATAGCGCCACTCACGCAGGGAAGGTCCCAGACTATGTATAACATCAACACTTAAAGCTTTCAGCTATATTAATTAAATGTCAACGTACTAATTCTATTCATCAAGTGTTTTTTTAAAAAAAAGTGGCAAATTATTTCTTGAAGTTCCTCCTGCATTATTTATATGTCATACAGATCGGTGTTCAAGGCTATAAAAACCACAGTTGTGTGTTTTGGCAGATACAATGCATTCTGGAGAACTCAAAATTAGATTAAAGCATGAAGGTTCTGCAGACAACAGGAAAGAATGTAATGATCAGTCCTCCATTAATTAGGAGATGTGAGCTAAGAGATTTCATACAGATAGTCAATGGATTGCACATTGCAATACATTGCAGCATAGTGAATCAAAGAATAATTCCTCTACTTTTTAAGTACAGCATTTCTGAAAAAAAACATTTGAGCTAAGTTTCAAACAATTTTATGATCTTGAAACCAGGTTAGGGACAATGTGTGATGCTTCACCTTATTTTATTCTCTCTAATAGGGGTGAAATATTTTTACTTGGCAGAGGCTTAGTCTGGAGATAGGGGGTGTGGGGGGAGTTATTCATTACAGGCGATTTACAATATTCTATTTCAGCTACTGTAATTTAGTTTAGTAGACATTTCCCAAATACGATTTATAAAAGCAAACTGGGTGAGAAGTAACTTTAAAAATTAGAGACAAATTCAGTAAAGTACAGAATTTTAAAGTGAAAATAAAACAATTTTGGCACACAAGCATACAATGAAACACATACAGTGTGCAATCTAAAACAAATCCAGAAACTGGTGATATTTTGTCCCTTAACGTGGTGAGAAGTGATGTTTTATCAACCTTCCAGATATCTGTGGTATAATGTTAGCTAGAAAAATTCAGTTGAAGTAACATTTCATACATGAATAACTTCCTGTATGAACATAAACTCATTTACCTGTGGAGAGAACAACAACTTGTATTTATATAGCATCCTTCACGCCGGACAGAGTCTCAGAGCACTTAAAGAACTCTTTACCTATTCATACAGTTTCAGCCAAGTACTATTTTAATGTCCTGAATGTTGGTAATTTCTATCCAAATTGCTTTATGCTTCTCTCCTCCTTCTATTATATTCTCCAGTATCAATAATATCATTCCCCTGCCCCGTTCTCTACTTCTGAAACCTTTAGCTCGGATTTAAGTAACCCAACTTTTTTTGCTCTCCTTCAAGTCTTTACTGCCTTTCAGGACTTCATTGCAACACTTAAATTCAGGCCAGGTCTGTGGCAGCGAGGAGAGGTTAAGCTTGTTGGACTGCATCCTGCTTGGTGAAACATTTGCAGGTAATGGCGCCATATAGCTAACAAAGGAAAGAACCTACTGATACTTAGGTGCCTTTGTAGATATGCCAACAGGCCCAGAGCAAAATAGGATGCAAAACTATTCCACTATGCATTCCACGTTTAGAATAGACGACCACAAACCTCCAACTGGTTCCAGGAAAAGCATGAAAATTAGCCTATACTTTCAAGCTTGCCTGCACCAATTGTACACCATAATTATGACAAAATACAAAAGCATTTACATTTTCCCAGCCTTCTTATGAAGTCAGATCAAATAACACTGGAAAAACAATGAGTGGAAAAATTGCCACTCAAATATATGTATTTATTTTCTAACCACAGCAGCTTAAAGATATTGAAAGAATATGTGTGACAGTCACAAATATTACCTTTTAAACATTGTGCATAAAACACTGTAAACCACGACACATTGGACATAAAATACTATGAACACTATGGTACACTGCAATTTCTTAACCAATAATTTAGGTGACAGCCTGGCTCGGATGGTAGCACTCTCACAACTGAATCAGAAGGTTGTGGGTTCAAAGCTCACATCAGGACTTTGAACCCATACAATCTTGGGTGACAATCCAATGCAGTGCTTGTGGTGTGCTGTATGGTTGGAGGCACCATTCTTCGTATGAGACATTAAACTGAGGGCTTATCAGTCTATTCAGGCCGTGATATGTTAAATGTGCCATGGCACTATTTGAAAAGAGAAGGGAGTTTCTCTTAATGTCCTGACCAACAAAAAGTGTCCTGACCTCTGATGAAAATCTCAACGTTGGGAGAACTTCTCAAAGCGCTTCACATGATTTACAATAAAGTGTAGTGACCACGTATGTTGTAGGCGAACGTGGCAGCCAATTCACAATATCCTACGAACATCCATGAAGCGAATGACTGATTTTCATCAGAGGATTGTTGGTCAGGATGTTGAAACTCCCTTCACTTTTCAATGATGAGTAATTCCAGTGTATTTTTAGATAAGTTATAAATATCTTCTCAACTTCTCAATTAAATTCCTTTGTCGTTTCTGCATCTCAGTTTACATCCTGAAGCGTGTGTGATTTAAGTCGTGGACGTAACACTAACAAAGCAGAGATCCTAAGTATATGGAAAACCCCCCAAATCCCTTTGATAGAGAAACATATACCAGGGTTCTTAAGAGTGATGTGGGAGAAGACTTATGAATCACTAACAGTTATTTCCCTACCATGCTTCACCCTTNAAAAAATCACTAATCACGTTTACACCTAGCACCTCTTGGAATGCGAGTTACTAAAAAGTGTAAACACATTTGTAATTCCCATAGTGAATCTGGTGAAACTGTTCGCCATCCTTACCCTCATTGGATGGATGTCTGCGTAGGGTGGTTTGCCTTCTGACATTTCAATTGCCGTGATACCCAGCGACCAGATGTCTGCCACACAATTATAGCCAATTTCTTGAATCACCTCTGGCGCCATCCAAAATGGTGTTCCGATCACAGTGTTGCGTTTTGCCATTGTGTCCTGTAAGTAACATTAAATCTCGTTGTAATGCTAGTCACCGGAACATTTGTAAATCTCATCACACAATATTAGTAAACTCTTACAAAGATTCTTTTCAGTTGTAAATTTTGACCTCTGTAAAAACGTTTAATAATGTGCAACAACAAATTTCCATTTATATAGGACCTTTCACAAGGCATTGAGCAGTCCAGGATTTGTAGGAGGGAAAGGTAAACTTATTTAAAAAACAAGTTAACGAGTACAGAAGTTACACAAAATAAAGATTTGCTTTGATCTTTTTAAACACTATAGACAATAAGACCACGTCTCTCTTCCCCCCTTCTTCCTTGTTCAGTGTCTTTGTGAAAACATTTTCCTATGTAATGTGCATTAAATGCAAGTTGCTGTTGTTTACTATGGGATCTATTATGTGCTGTGTAGAAACTACATGTAAACTACACTAAACCATAGGCAAATTTCCTTACTTCACATGCCTCTGTTTACCTAGTAGTAAACAGGAACTCAGTTGTTAGTCGATTGGTGGATTGAATTACGTGGGTAGTAATCTCTCAAAAAAAATTGGTCAATCAATCAACGACTGTTTGTGGGACACTACCTTGCACAATTGGCTACCGTTTTTCGCCCACAAAATATAGTCAATTCACTTTACAATATATTCTGTGAAGCGCTTTGAGAAGTTGTAACAACATGATAAGGTGCTATATCAAATGCAAGGATTATTATAAATATATAAACATCTGAAGACTATTGTGGAATTTATCAGATTATGTTATAAAAGTAAATTTGAACCTTGTGAAACCTAGCTGAGAGATGATAGAGTTTTGACTGCTAAAATAGTGCAGGCAGCTTGCATTTGCCTGCATTTATGATTCAGCATTGGATTCAGGAAACTGCTGCTCTTTCATCCACAATATGTGCAGTCCTGTCATCACCTGTATGTCCCCACTCAGTAAGCATCTGTTTCCAATTGTAATTCACACAAAGAGTTAGCTCAATCTACAAGTGCCTACATAGAATACAAAGGAATATTCAGTTCTGGAATATGTGTTTTTGCGCACGATGCAAGTGTTTGACTGAATTTGAATGCTTTCTGAATTTATGGCTACCGTACTTCATATTCCTACTGCTTTATAGCAGTTGGTATTGACAATTTACCAAAATATTTACAAACAATACTTCAATACGTATACAAACTATAAAACATGTAGATTGTGTAATTCTTGGAGCCACGATCTGGGTCTCCAACTAGCAAAGGAGTAAAGAAAGTGCAACTTCCACAATCTCCAATTAGAGTAGAATGAGAGGGAGGAACCAGAATCTTCCCCAACAGTGTACCCCATAAATCCTTGCTCGACATGTGAATGGTAGGACACTGCAATTCATGTTCTTGGTATGTTCTTATCTCCACCCTTTCTATACTGAAATTCTGCAGGCTACTACTAGCCTCACAAGCCCTATCAATCTTCAGTCTTGGTCAGAGGCTCCTTTGAGATCTGACGAACAAGCTAGCTACCAAGGTGGTTCAGTGAGTTTGAGGGAGAGAGAAAGAGACAGTTTGTGGGGGGGAGGAAGGAAAGAGATTGGGGAGTTTTTACGAGGTGAGAGCCAGAAGTAAGGAAACGTTGGCAGGAGCCAAGGGGGATGGCTTCAATCTTGTTCATTTTCAGTTGCAGGAAATTGTGTTTCATCCACGATGACTATCGGGTAAGTGGATAGATCCGTAGTCATGGAATGAAGAGTGGAAATGGAAAAGTAGATTTGGATATCGCCCACAAACATGTGAAAGTTAGCCCCTTGTCTGTGGAAAGCATGTAGGTGAAGAGGAGAGATAAAAATATAGTCAATTCATTTTACAGTATATTCTGTGAAGTGCTTTGCGACGTCTTCAAATGCAAGTATTATTATTGTCCTGATGTATAGCACCCACTCTCCAAAGCTTTTCTGAACAAGGGAATAATGTCTCATCAACCTTCAAAATGTAGAACTGTTGAAATCTAGCAGTCCCTCAACACTGGTTCTGATAAAATAGCAAAGGGAGTAATTGTTAAAGATTACTTGATTTTAAAAACATTAAGCTTTCAGCTGGAATTTAACATTATTTGCAAGATTAAAAATAGTGGAAAAGGAACTATTAGAAATAACTTGCATTGAGTGTCAGGCTGGCTCATTGGTAATCTCACCTGAGGCAGAATGTTGTGGGTTCATGCCCCATGTGGGGTCTTTGAGTTTATAGTTCAAGTTAATAATAATAATAATAATCCCTCCAAAACAATAATAAATTGGTCATTTTCAATCCACGACTGTTTGTGGGACACTGCTGTGTGCAACTGGCTGCTGCGTTTCGCCCACAAATATACGGTCAATTCACTTTACAGTCTATTCTTTGAAGCGCTTTGAGACGTCGAGAAGACGTGAAAAGCTCTATATCAAATGCAAGGATTAGTATTATTATTAAGTTGACACTCCAGTGCATTGACGGGGAATGTTACATTATCAGAGGTGCCATCCTTCAGTGAGACATCAATCAAAGATCTCATCTGTCTTTTCGGGTGTATGTTAAAGATTCCACGACACTAATTCAGAAAGTGAAGTGACTCGTTTCAAACTATGCCCCATCAATTCCTCTATCCATCAAATGTGAATCATCTCCAATGTGTCCACGCCCTTTTAAAGATAGTGTCCAAAATTGAAAAAGACGTTGAAAGAGGGTAGACCAACCACAGTTATCAAATGCTTCTGAGATGCTTGCTAGTCTTGTTGATAATGGTTTCATATTAGAAGTACTTTCAGTGAATGTCGGAAGTGCTTCACAAAAGCGTCTCAGTGTCCTGCTCAATAAATCTCCAGATAAAATTGGCCACTCACTTCGTGTCTGTTTTGTGGGACCTTCTGCATTTGCATACAAAACAAATTACTTCTGCATTTGCATACAAAACACATAGTCACTACACTTCACAGTAAATTTTGTGAAGCGCTTCCGACATTCACTGAAAGTACTTCTAATATGAAACCATTATCAACAAGACTAGCAAGCATCTCAGAAGCATTTGATAACTGTGGTTGGTCTACCCTCTTTCAACGTCTTTTTCAATTTTGGACACTATCTTTAAAAGGGCGTGGACACATTGGAGATGATTCACATTTGATGGATAGAGGAATTGATGGGGCATAGTTTGAAACGAGTCCAAATTGGAGAGAGAAAACTTAACTCTCTTCTGTTGATGGAAAAATTCCTCCACTCATTTTAGTAAAGTTGATAGTACAACATTGAGGCAGATGGGAGCATTAATCTGATTCAAAGTGTGCTAGATAGTGACATTAGGACCTAAAAGAGAGGGGCTTCAGCACTGACAACCCTCGCCTTGAGACCAAAACATGCTGAAACTAATTTTTGATAAAGAAACAAGGATAAAGAGGAGCTCTCAATTACGAAGACAGAGTTACAGAGAGCTGAACTGTTTTTCATTAGAGAAAAGATGACCGGGTGGTCATGTGATCCAAGTCTTTAAACTATTGAGAGGAACAGATAAGAGACAAATAGATCATTTAATTTGGAAAGAAGAAAAAAAATAACTGCTGTAAATCTGAAACAAAACAAATGCTGGAAATCCTCAGCAGTTCAATCAGAATCTTGAAGAGAAAAATAGGTCAATGTTTCAGCCAGGACTTTTCATCATTTAATTTGGTATAAAACCACAGAACCAAAGGGCAGTAGATCAAAATTAACAATTTTCAGACTCACTTAATCATTTATGCATAAAAAAACAGAGGAATATCTATTTTGTAATGAGATTGTGGGTTATAAGAAAAACTGCAGATGGAGATGATCAAATGCGGTTATTAAGTGCCTCTTGGACGCTACCCTGCATAAGGGAAACTATAAAAATGCAAGATGTTGTTGTTGTCCCCATGTTACCAAACCACATTAAGTCACAAAAGGCAACAAGTCAAGGATATGTACTGTGCGATGCAATTTTTATCCATGAATTAAAAGGAAAAGTATTTAAATATCATGTTTACTTAATTCTATACATTATGATTACAGCAATACAATTAAGCCCATGTTTGAGTAGCTTTACTACTGCAGTATTAAAATTTGATTCATTGGCAGCATATGTAGAAAACATACAAAACTAGCCAGCTGTGGAACAGTCACTATTCTAATACTTGCCAGAAGTCTAAGTGTTAAATGTAATCAGTAGTGCCTAAAATAAGAGAATTAATTCTGTGAAAAGCAAATAAACACTTGATCAGAGTGTCTTTTGTGTATCCTAAGTATCCTAAGTGTGGTCTAACCAAGGTTCCATGGAAGTTTATCATAGCTTTCCTGCTTTTTATTTCTATCCCTCTAGAAATGAAACCTAATATCTGGTTTGCCTTTTTTATACTTTTAGTGAATTGTGTATGTGTACCCCTAGGTCCCTTTGCTCCTCTACCCCATTTAGGTTTTTGTTTTCCAGGATGTGTGTGACTTCCTTACTCCTTCTACCAAAATGTACTACCTCACACTTTCCTACATTGAAATCCATTTGCCATTTAAATGCCCACTCAGCAAGTTTATCAATGTCGTGCTGTAATTTGTTGCAGTCCTCCTCTGTATTAACTACTCCCCCCAATTTGGTGATGTCTGCAAATTTTTAAATTGTACTGCTGATTCCCAAATCCAAATCATTAATGTATATTGTAAACAACATTGGTCCCATTACCGATCCTTGTGGAAGACCACTGCCCACCCTCTGCCAGTCTGAGTAGCTACCCTTTACCCCTACTCTCTGTTTTCTGTTTTGCTGCCAGCTTGCTATCCATTCTGCTATTTTTCCCCTGACGCCACATGCTCTGACCTTGGTGTTATTTAGTCTATCGTGTGAAGTAAATGAAAAGCTTCATCACGCCTCCCCTTAAGCTTCTCCACACCAATTNAAAAAAGGCTCCAACTTCTAAAGTTTTCTTGAATAGCCTCAGTCAGTTGGTAGCAGTCCCACCTATGAATCAGAAAGTTAGAGGTTCAAAGCCTGAAATATATATTCAACCAAATGATCCAGAATTCTGCTTCAGAAATAATACATTGGAAAGTTGCCTTTTTTTTAAAAATGAACATAAGTGAAAAATTAATAATATCAAGCAAAGACTGAACAGAAGCAACCTGTTCAGCGTTCTGCCAACAACTGCTTGGGGTGCATTTATATAGTATGCCAGCGCACTTAACAGTGGCAGAGAAAGTCTGGTGGAGGGAGGAGGTGACCGTAGGCATGGTCAAGACGGAGAAGGAAGGGGTAAGGCAGAGAGATAGAGGAAGAGTGTTCCAGGGTTTCGAGGTATAGTGGCTGAAAGTGTGGCCACCAATGGTGGAACAAGGGCATAAGGGACATGCAGAAGGCTGGAGCCAGTCGAGTGGAGGCAGTGGGTAGTGGGTTGGGGAGTAAGTGGGTCGGAGAGGTAGGAAGTTGCCAGGGTATGAAGGGATTTGAAAATGAATGTGAGGATCTTGTAATCGATCTGTTGGCCGACAGGGAGCCAGTGGAGCCTTCACTGGAGTGCAGAGTTTAATGTGGGTGAATATGTGGCGGCAGAGTTTTGGATTAGCTGGATCTTGTGGATGATGGAGCTGGGCAGACAGGCAAAGGGCATTTGAAGAGTCGAGTTAGTGTTTCAGCTACTTCTGGGGTAAGGTACCACCACAACAAGATTACATTTGTATAGCACCTTTCACGTCGGGAGGATGTCGCAATACACTCATCAGAAAAATGTCTACAACAGTAGCCTAAAGTCACTCTCCAATCTCCTTATTTAAAGGCATCCACTATATTCCTTTAGTGACATGAATGACAATGGGACTGAAAGGATTGCTCCTGAGGAAGCCAACAGATATAATAGGCCAAATCGACTTCTTCTGTGGTTCTATGGTTCTATGATAACAATGGATGTCAACTTGTGTCCTATCAATCGGCACTGCTGAGTGCTGCAGCTCTGATCTACTGCTCCGTCTCACACCAAAGATTTTGTTTTAATGTTGGCAATGAAATGCTGAACTAAGATGCTCAGTAACTTTTATTTTATCCCTCAAGTAAAAAATAATACCTTCGTCACCAGTGTAAATCTATTCAAAATTATATCCAGTATTTGATGCAAATTTTCGATTTAGTTACTCACAGTCAGCTGTCCTGCGACACCAAAATCAGCAAGCTTGGCATGTCCCTCTGTGTTCAGTAGGATGTTTCCAGCTTTGATGTCTCGATGGATTTTTCTCATGAAGTGTAAATATTCCAATCCTTTCAAAGTTGATTTAAGAATGGTTGCTATTTCATCTTCTATTAACTAAAATCAGAACACAGTTGATTAATATTGGATCATAGTATAAAATTCAAACTATTTAAAATATTTTGTGATAATAATCCTTGCTTTTTATTATATTAATCCTTGCAGTCCGAGTGTCCTGGCCTCAAATTATTCTTTCTGACAACCTATTCCTGTTTCTTCAGAAATTGCCCTTCGCAACTCTGAATCTATGTCCTCATGTGCTACCGTTTTGATGCATCCTTAAATATTGTTCTTGGTTTACTTCTGTAAAATGTTATACCTACTATCAAGACTAAAGAGGTACAATTATTGCTCTTACCTCAGCCCCTATGACACAGGAATCAGAACTGAATGCAGTACTCCAGGTACAGCCTGAATAGAGCATGGAGTATGACATTTATGGATCTGACTTCAACTGATTTAGCAGTGACTGTACTTGTGAGCGAAACAGCAGCCAATTTGCACCTAACAATGACCCACAACCACCAGAAATGAATAAACAATTTTAACTGGGGGTATTGTTGGCCAGGATACCAGGACAAAACACCATTAATAATAATAATTCTTGCATTTGATATAGCACCTTATCACGTCCTCGAGACATCTCAAAGCACTTCACAGAATATACTGTAAAGTGAATTGACTGTATATTTTGTGGCCAATGTAGTGCCATGGGATGTTTAACATCCATCTGAACAGGCAGAGGCAACTTTAATTTTATATTTCATCTGAAGGACAACACCGTCTACAATGCAGCATTAGCATTGCATTGAGGTGCCAGCCTAGACTATGAACTCAAAGTCCTGATGTGTAGATTGAACCCAAAACTTTCTGATTCAGAGGTTAGATTGCTACCATCTGAGCTAGGCTGACATCCAACAAATATCTTTAATACAAAGAGTAAATATTTAGAGCTCTGCTACATCAACTTTGTTTTCTTTTTCACGATCAATCTCAAAAATAAAAACATTGTCCATTTGTGCAAACATTATAATTTAAGCAGCAACACACGTTTTTCTTTGTAAGCTTTGTCAAGATCCTTAACCTCTAAACTTGCTGCAAGGAAAATGCATTACAACAAGGGATTGAAAATACAATATTGATGTTTTGTTCCTTCTATGGGTATAATAATACTTGCATTTGATTTAGCGCCTTATCCCATCTGCGAGATATCTCAAAGCACTTCACAAGAATATACTGTAAGGTGAATTGACTGTATATTTTGTGGGCGAAATGCAGCAGTCAATTGCACACAGCAATGTCCTCCAAACAGTCATGTATTGAGTGACCAAATGTTTTTTTTAAGGGATTATTAAGATCTGTCAATCGACTAACAACCGGGCTCCCATGTACTGCTGCGTAAACAGAGGCATGTAGAGTAAGGAAACTTGCCTCGGGTTTGCTCTACCTGGGAATCGAATCCAATCCTCTCGCTTTCGAGTGCTCTAACCAATACACTGTAGGACTCCACTTTACAGTAAATCTGTGAAGCAGTTTGAGACACACTCCTTACATGAAACCCTATCCCTATTCCCTATCAAACGTAAAGATTAAAATAATTATAAATCTGCTGATGCCCATTTTGTTCTAGATACTAAATAGCTCAGAAAGGGTTAAATGTTATGGTTAAAGTGTGTAGTAATAATAATACCGGCATTTGCAAGGATGAAATCGGGATACAAGTTTGCCAGCTAAGCAAAAGTACAAAAAAAATTCCCCTCAAAAAAATAATTGGAATATAGGCAACAAGGATTTTATTTCAGAACACTGCCCAAGAAACATCCAGATGAACACATGAACAATGTTGTGTTGCCTCCACTCATTCTCTTTGTATGAGTTAGATAACACACTGCCCACTCACTCGTGAGTTCAAGCAAGAGGCAACTGCACCCAAGGGACCACAGCTACCACTTGTTGTTTGATGTGGTAATCACACAATGCTAAGCTACAATATTTTGAATGCACAACACCAATGGAAGCCAAAAATGTAGGAGGCAAAAAAAATGATCTTTCAGATTCGTAGCAAGATACAACAATAACAAATTCCACATGTAACCAGATCAGTGAAACCATAAAGAGTGCATCCCAGCCCAACAGTTAGCAAAGCTCAAAGAGAACCAAAAGAATACCACAAGATTAATAGTTAGGGAAAAAAGGAAAACGTTTAAATTACCCTCATTGCATGTCCTGTACTGAATAATGCACTTTGGATTTAGTCTGAATGGCCATCTTGAATCTACAGATGTTCGGCCTGCTGATTGCACAAACCTTGCCTATCCAAATTAACATCTGTGCAACACAACAGGACTTAAATAAAATAAACTTCATTGAATTAAATACAACAGTTTGGAATCTTCTTTGGTATAATTTAGCAATTGTGAATTCTATTGCGAAAATACCCAAAAAAGTGTTTGAAAAGTTGATGAAAAATTTGAGCAAAGGGATGAACCCGGGGCAAGGGGATGGAATAATTCATGAAACAACCACTATTTGGTTTCACTTAATCAAAACTTAAAATTTAAAATAACTAAACTGATTTTAAAACAGTTACACAATAAGTCCGCTTAAGAGTAATTAAAACAAAATGCACAATTCTCTTGTGTGCTCCTAAGAGAATCAAAACATTGTAAAATGTTTTCAAGAATAATTTTAAGATTAAATTAACCTATTCTTAAACAGGTTTATCAGCTCAATAAAATAACAGTGTAAGACCAGTATTCGTGCTTAATTAGACGAGGGCTGATCAGATTAGGCTCCGCAATATACAGAATAGTCTACTGAAACTGCGGAATCAGATTACCAAATTATCATAGCAGAAAGCATTAATAACCCGCTACATAATATTAATGGAGAATTGGCTAAGTAACCGAGTTAGCAAAATAAAGGATACTTCCTCTAATCAAGAATAAATCAATTTCTGCAGTACAGCATAAAAATTCAAAGGTTGATAAGATTATTATTAACATCTGTACGCATTCCTGCTTTAACATGTTAAATCAAGCATAACAAAAATTATAAAGGAGGAAACTACTGACAAAAATATCTTCTCATGATTCATTCACTAAACGGAATTTCATCTGCCATAAATCAAAGCTTTACCTTTAATCAGGCAGTGATATTCAGGCAGATTTAATACCGCAGGTTGAATCTATGGAGATTTTGTAATTACTTGTTGAAATTGTGAAGAATCAGCTGCTGTCAATAACTTTGTTTGAACTGACAAAAATGTAATTTCCTACTTTTGACAATGTGATCAATAATGTCCAATAAAAGTTGCCCCAATTAAAGTCAACAATGTGGTACAGTACTAGTTATCGACTAACCTTGACAAAAACAAATCACCCGTCCATTCTCCAAATTGGGAAATGGTGCTTTCAAAAAGGGAAACTAAAAAGGATGGGTGAATTGCCACACTCCAACATGCTATCCTTTGTGAAAGGCACTTAGAGAATCAATGTTGTGTTGTCATTGAGAAGGGAAAGAATCTCTTTAATTTTTGTCAAAGAAACTGGTGGCATTTGTTTCTTGCCTGCAAGACGATAAACTCTAGCCAGAAGATATGAACAACAGGAATTTGGAAATCTTACTCATAAAAAATAGAAGACAATCAGTTAAGAATCTGAATGAAATACAGGCATTTGAAGCAAAGAAAGTATGTGGTCAAAGGATGAAAGACTGCAAACAGCAAGTAGGCAAAGCACCCCATTATGAAATGCAGGGAAAGGCACTAGGCTAATGGGAGTAGATTAAAGAGCTCAAACAGTGAGACTTTATATTTTTCAACACCCAACCCAATATGCTTTCCCTACTCAACTTTCCTCCTCACTGGTGATGATGACAACAGATTTCAATGTAAAGGAAAAGTAAGAGTAAAATGACAAACATCCCCTCATTGCACAAGCATTGCTAACTGAGTACCCTGTAATAGAAACTTTCAGCCCAAAATTCCACCTGTTTTAGGTCTATAGGACTATTTTGTCTTAAAATTTAAGGTGGCACAGAAGTGTGTAAAAATTCTTAAATTCAGAATTAATTTAGAAAGCGGTTTTCACCGTTCTAAAAAGAACTACTCGTAGCTTCCAAATTAAGACCAAACTAAAGAATTTTCCACAACTCTGTACCATCTGAAATTTTAAGATAAAAGTCTTGCAGATCAAGGTAAAATGTCAGGCCTTTTGAGTGCTGCTTCCAGCTGCACCCTCAAACGTACAGATGTCAGCATTCAAACACGTAAATATCTTGTGCTGAACTCAGGAGATACAGAAACCTGCACGTTTTTAACTTGCAGCCCCAGATTGTGGATCCTTAACCACAAAACCCCAAGCATCTTGGCCAAATCAGATCCTGGGTAATCTCAGATCATCGGCAATCTGCCAAACATACTCCAGTGGAACCTTGATTACACCCCCATATCAATTATTCACCAGGGATGGGGATCCCCTTAATTCTGGCAGATAATCAAGGGTCCGCTGTATACAGAAGAATTCATTTTATGTCTGCAAATTTACATCATATACTATAAAGGCATGTGTTACCCTTAAAAATGCAAAAGCAGGAAAGTAGATCCAAGCAGCTAAATTGCTGAGTGCACAATTATTTCCCAAAATATAAAACAGAAAGTAAATTCAATATTACAGCATAAGATTAACAGTAAGAAATGTATGGCGCAGGCACAACATACAATTTTATTTCCACACATGAATTGACCTTGTACCTCCAAAGAAACAAATTAAGGAATGAAAAGAAAAATTAAACTCCCCATCATACATATTGTCATTCTTTTAGCATTTCATTTTCATCAGCCAGATGTCTAACACATGCAGGAACCCATCACCATGCTTACAAGTATCCAAACCAGACTGAGGGTTCCAGATTATATGCCATCGACACATGGAAATTCCACTGTATCTGTGATGGAACAAACTCTCTCCGACTGAAGGGTCGGCCCCTGCTTACCTAATTCCATATTAGATGCAGGTTGGTAAAAGCCAAGGCTTGGGGACCCATTGTATGCGTTG